GTTTTCGACTCTTCGGGTGTGTATTTTGTTAACGCTTCATGTCATAGCGTGGCAACTTCTGATTTGTTCAGGATTGTTTTAACATCGCTTATTATAATAGGGCTTACAGAACCCCCAAACCATCTCGATGTGATTATAATGGCAGTGGTAAGGAGGAAGTCTAAGCATGTCTATACAGTTTTTGAACAGTAATTCATCAATTTCGATTTTTTTTTTGTTGAAAATATTCAAAATTAAAATTCAAAAGGAATTTTGTTGCCAAGCAGCTAAAACTGTAATTTTGATTTTATGATAGACTGGGGAGCCGTTTAGGAAGAACTGAGTAGGACGATGCGTTATCTAGTACTACTACCACTTTTCATAGTTTTGTGGTAGTCTCTGTTGTCAATAGCTCACAACGTTCCAAAAAACGAGATCTACCCGAAACATGAAGAACCGTGAAATGTTTTCCCTCACGTGCAACAACTTTAATTCAGGCATACCTCCTCGACCACCCTCAAACACCCATTTTTTCACAGAACAACCTCTCTGGTAAATCCATGTCTCATCCAAATAAGTAAATGTTACATCTTCTTAAAAATCTAAGTTTAAAAGATTTGAAGTATGGTCCTTCCACTAGAATTTTCCGATTGTAAACTTTTTTGTACTTATACCCCACAGATTTTATTATTCTGTCCACGGTTCTCATGCTCGCAGTGTAATCTAGTTCATTTCTTGCATGGTCAAATCGATCGTCTGATGCAAAGTACTTGTTTTTCTTGTTTCTTTTATACTCATGTATGTGCCTACTAAAATTCTGTTTAAACTGAAAGTCTGTGTAGAAAAGAGACTTTGGCTTCTTACCAGTTTGAGGATTTTGGAAGGGATAACCGAATTATCTAATAAGGTGAACAGTTCTAACTAATAGATAAAATGGGCCATAGACGCCAGGGGACAAAGATGTTTCAATTTTCAGTGACTATTCCCATCTTCATTTGACGGGACAACACAGTTCTAGTTTGTCTTTTTATTGAATCGTCCATTTTAAATTCAAAAATTACTCTCTCAACAATTTATGCTTGTGTGCTTGTCGACAAAACGTCAAATGTCGTCGCTGCCAACCCTACTGAACAAAAATCCAAGAACAGCAAGGTAACCAACCTTACTTTGTATCAAATGGACAGATAGAAATGGCGTGACTTTAATTATTATTATTTATTGCCTACCATCTGTCTACGATCTGTATGCATGGATCTTGAGGGTACGTTGACACCAATACTTTCTATTCGAGATTACGTTCTCTTTGCAGACCATCCATATATCCATATTGAAGGGGTGTGAATGTGTTGATATCGTACTTATGTTCAAGGTGATTTAACCGCTATTCGTTCAAACGGGCTTACACCGTATCGTCGAGGGTTCACTACATGGTACCTGGATCGGCTGTATTTTCATTGTTTTTACATTAGATTTGCAGGAATTGCCTACCATAATGAAGGGATTTTTTATCTGTTACTGGTGTAAACGAAGTGGTCACATTGCATTCATTGTTGGAGTGGTTGATTTGGAGAAATTGGAGTGACTGGACCATGTCCATTATAGCTTTAGTTACCCACACCCATCTGATAGTTATAAATCGTAGAAGAAAACCACGGTTGTACTTGGTTTTCGTTCGGAAGTGAGAACCGATAGTTAGCTGGTGTAATTGGATGGCGCAATGTATGGAAATTATTATTGATTTTAAAACTGGACCCACATTCAATTTCATAAAAATTAGTTTTCGCGCATACTCGATTTCGCCATTTCTAAGTAATTATCCTGTCGTGTCACTGATTGGAGCCTAGGCAAGTTCCAGACAAAGCGGAAAATCAACATGTTTCAAAACGAAGACTGGCAAGGCTTTTGTATTCATGGGATTATAAACTTACCTAGAACTTCTGGCACTGTGAAAGTTCGAACGGGGAAAGGTTTAAGCTGTGCTGTTTGTTAAAATAAATGAGGACGTCATAATCTAGAGTTTTTGTTACAAATGTTTGAAAAGTGAATATGCGTATGAAAAATATTTATGAAAACGGCATAAACATGAAAAATATTTATGAAAACGGCATAAACAAAACCTTCTAGATTTTAAGAAATACCGAAGAGTGACAAATATTTTAGATGGTTGTTCACAATGTAAGTTACTGGGTTCAGTTACTATAAAGCTTGTTTAAAATGTTACACATCTAAGTCGTATTTTTATTTCATTTTAAAAGAATTTTGTAATTTTTTGATATTGTACAATAGATATTATAACGTAGGTTTATACTATATTTGAATAGGTGCGCACTGTTAATTTTTAGTGTGGACACTTGTCAACACCTATGTAAAGATGTTAAATTTAGCAATTGTTTATTTACAAGTTTATTTTTCTTCTTAGTTAATGATAAGACAATTTTATGAACGATCAAATTTTATAATTTTTCGGAAAAGCTGGATATATCGTATTTCTGGGACGAAGACCAATTTTTTATTTTAGAAAAAGTCTAAGGTAGTGTATTTGGCGAATAATATCGTGTTGAATAAATAGGTAATTGTGTGTGACATTAAGTCCGACTAAGCTTAGAGCTCAAACAAAAGTGATGAGTAGAAATCAGTGATAGAGTTTACTACAAATCCATAAAACTCGAAGCACGATCTTCACAGAAGCCTAAAGTCTAGAATGTTAATGAAAGATAAGATTTTGAATTCATGAACGTTGGTTTAATCCAATTTAGAAAAACATTATTAACAATCGAAAAGAACTGCAAATTCACTAAACAATATGATTAACTTTCCTTCAAGATATAGTGAACTACGTTTTGTCGTGGGACTAAACTAATACCACAGAAAACTCTTGTTGTTTCCTAAAGATCTAATATCTGAAACTAGCGGACCAATTGTTAAATTTTATACGTACCTACATATGCTAGGCATATCGTGCAGATGTAAAACGCTAACTACAATTTGTCTAATCATCCCCACCAATAATAATTTGGTGACGTCATCTCAAAATCATATGTAATAAATGCTATTTAAATTTTATAAAATAACATACCCTTGTACTTGTACTCTTCAAAAAAAAAAAAAAATTGTGTATATAATAACATTTTTTAACACTATACGAAGTGGTAATGATTGAATGACTTAGTGGTAAAAGCGTATGACTAATGACGCGAAGAACACGGAGGTCGCTGGTTCGTTCCCCTCATGGACCACTTTTTTTTCGTACACGGTGGCTGGTATTATCTATATTTTATAACTTATAGTGCTTATTATGAATAAATAAAATTTGCCAAAACTAAATTTTTCTCCTATCATAATTAATCGACGAAAGTAGATTTTTTCATAATGTATTTCGAAATTCAGATACGAAAATGTAAAAACCTGACGAACTGTTCCCAATAAAACTTAACACGGGAAGAGAAACTCTCTGTCTTTAACGAGAGAATAATTTAGGAGAGTACAATAGCGTGATCGGCAAATACTGTTTGAATTGGTAATAGAATGAACCAATTCTGAGAAATTTTTCTTGTGCTGCTATTACCGAACTTGATCCAAATGCTGGCGCGATGTCTCTTATTTATAAATTTAAATTAAATGCCTCTCTCAACCATGTCAATTCTAGCAATAGAAAGTAAGGTGGAATGACAGTTCTCCCAATTTCAAACAAAATTTGTTGATAACAACTGAAACAGTAATTGTTGATTATCCTGTAGATTAGTTAATAAAACTTATTTATTAGGTACTTGTGTCGACAATAGATATCGTTTTGTTTATCTACTAACTGAGTGACTCAAAAATTGTACATTTAATTTCCCTGAAAATCGGAGACGATAGTAATCTTGCTAGTGTTATCTTGTAATCACATACAATATTAAAATTACTGTATTTATTTTTACGTAATAACTGTTTTGTATTAAACGTACTTCAGCTGTATACTTATTATTTAAAACCACATTATGTTTCAATTTAATATTCCATAGTTACTTTTGATGCTGTTAACTATGCATTTCAATTAAAATTAACATTTTTTCTACAAGGTTGAGTAAAGTTCTGTATAATTAACTTTAAAGATTTTTTCTGATACATTTTTTATCATGAAATTGTGTTGATCATGTTAATTAAGCTCGAAGTAAAATTGTGTGACTCAAGCTTGAGTTTTACTAATTTGTTAGCTGCGTTTTTTAATTACCTTTGTAATTATCTTTAACTAATGAGTTTGTTGATAACCGTTTTCTTTTCTTTGTTTTGGCATTTCTAAATGGGCGTAGCTTTCCCTAAAATGTGGAAAAAGCAATCTTTCGTGTAATTTCTTATACTTTTCAGGGACGCGTACGTGTTCAAGTTATCTGCGATAACAGTTATTTAAAAGTAATCCAGATAACTTTTCTACATAGTTTTTATCTGCAATAATTCACAACACTGCTGTTAGGGTCACGAATTTAATTATATCCAACGAATTAATTTAAACGATTTCGTACTCTTTCGTCACGCACCAAGCTCATTTTCAAACTCCTGTTGTTTCCCCTCCAGTGTTAAGACCTACAGATTTTTAAACGTTATAAAACGCTACCCTTTAATCAGCACGAATTTTAAAGAATTCAATACGTTAAGCTTTGATTCTATTCTCGTTGTTTCAGAATATCTTTAGTTTATTTTTATGACGAGATAAATTGCTTGGGCTTTTGTCTCATCTCGGAAAATGTAACGTATAGAAAGAACTTCAAAGTAAAGTTGCGTTCACGACTGGTTCACTTGATTGACATGTTTGTGTGTCGCTGATTTGCCCTGGAGCGTGGTTTTCCAAGACCGTAAATTATTAAAACAACCTGAGCTCAAAAGATTGATGAACGTATATGGGAACTTAATAAACGTTCTTTGCATGCTAAATCCCTCGAGGTCCCTTCTGTATTTCGTCATTCGAAATGCAAATTCGCGTACTAAGATTTAAATAAATGAGAACTTTTTAGGTACAAATACATGTTTGGTTGTATTTGCAGGCTCATGTGGATCACCGTTGGGAATGGAGTCAGGGGCTATCAAGGATTCTGCAATTACAGCAAGTTCAGCTTATGACTCAAGTAGTGTTGGACCTCAACATGGAAGGTAAAGGGAATTTTAAAATTTAAATAACTAACATTGTTTACAAAAAAACTAGATAGATTTTCTAATATTTCATTACTGGAGTACATTTACTAAATTGCTGACGTAGCCAATACGACACTTTAAAATCACTTGCAAAAGTTGAATGTTCAAAAATATCAGTAAATCTACAAATTTAGCTAGGCCAAGTGTAGAAATTTAAAGGTTTTATAGATGGTCTGATAAATTAAATTAGTCTTTTGAGTGTTCCCCGCATCGATCAATTCATGTACAAATTTAATCACAAAAATCCTAGGCAAATCACGTTATGGAAAGATTACATATTAGTAGTCTTCGGTGATAACAGTTATTCAATTGAAAAAGTCATCAAGTTGCCCTTGCTTTTTTGTATAAGAAAACATAGCGAAAAACGTATGTGTTTTATTAGTCCGGATTGTTTTATATAATTGATAAATGAAAATTTCCACATTTTCAGCTGTCATCGATTAACTTCTAAGTTTATTTATTACAAACATACTTCACACTGTTCACAAAAAATCAAAGTTAACTTGATGAATTTTTCAGTTAACACACATGCATATACGAGTAGGTGGCTCCCAGGTTTACTGTACTACTTGGTGTAACTAATTATTTCGATGAAGTTTGTTGTTCTTTCATGTAGATATTTAATGTAGGCCACATTATAACTAACCCAACATAAAAATGCATCTCTACTAAAAATATTTTTAGATCATTTACCATTAAAAACAATCAGTTGATTTTCTTAAATGATGTCTAACTTATAAAATAAAAAATAAGTACATACACAGGGTTCTTTTTTTTGAAAGTTAGGTACACATTATAGTTGCATTTTTTGAAAGGTATGTAATACCCAATCCTATTTTTACAAATTAAGGAATAAAGCAAAATTGGTCTAAGGTATTACACACAACTTCCCTCGCCTCTGAAGTACGATCCAACAAATTCAGCTTCTTCGAAAAAGTATAAAATTTGATTTTGCGATTTTTTTATAAAATCCCTGTAAGTTAAAACAAAAATAAGTGGTATTAAAGTCAAGGTAAAAAGTACGCCATGCGTATGTATGTTTCAAGCCAGTTTTGCGATGACGTTATTAAGATTTTCACAAGGACACGTATACAGGGTGACTGCGAAATATATGCAAATATTTTAACCACGGCATCCCCCACCCTAGTAGAGCCGAAATATAGAAAAAACAAATTAAAAATCGAATGGGGCAAAACCCCCATGAACCACCCTCGATACGAAGGCACTGAGCCACCTTATAAACAGAGTTGGAAAAACGTTCGAATAAAAACGACCTAAACACTTTCAGTTTCAATTAAAAGTAAAACCGACTTTTTGCTGCTTATCATTCGTTCATTCATTTACTCATTCATCGTTAAAGGTCAGTGTGAAAGTTTTTTGGTAATTTTGATTCTGACGTATGTTTGGTCCTTGTCACAACGATTTTATATTGTTTATTGGAACAGAAATAAGAGCAACTTAGAATGTTACTACCTTTTTACAAGAAATGTTGAAAATGTTGTCGTTGACTAGCAATACAAGCGTCAGAGCGTCGCAAGAGGTTTGTTGATAGGTAAAAAAACACCGGAGTAGCGGCTGCCACTTTCACTTGTTGAAGCTCTTCGGTAATTACTGGACATTGTTGATTTCCACAAACGAATTGTTTCATCCAACCAATACACGTTTCTCGAAAACCGTCTCTTGAAATCGTACTTGTTGACGACTATGTGGAGTTTCATCGGACACAAAGTGAGTTACACAACGTGGACAATCAGCGGGCTCCAAACCGTGCACTTTGTTAACATGGTATGGATGTGACCGTGTTCTTTTAATGTAGGATGCACTACAAGCTGCGAAAATCCAAATTTTTCTTTCTGCCCCATCACGACCACGATCGTGAGTTTGAGTTTGAAGGTACCATGATCTCGGAGATGCTGTACCACTGATGCAAATGTTCGCGCACACAAATTACCATATCGACACACTCTGCATTGGAAAACTGGACCATACACCGATTTCAACGACCGCTTGATAATGAGTGGCCCTTTTCGTGTTTTTCACGTTGCGATTAAAAAAGTGCCTGATAAAGTTACTTTTTTGGTTCTTACTCCGAGTCCCCTGCCCATTCATTGCGGTAATTATGTAGGTCACGAAACATTACCAGCGGCGCGTATAACAATTTACATTTAATTTCAAATAATTTTTTCTAGACACTGCTACCACTTAGGACCGTGAATTTTTGCCAGTGACATAATCATATTGTGCGCTATTCCCCATTTTTTTTGCATATGTATTTCGCAGTCAGCCTGTATCAATAAAATGGGTGCAGTATTGTAATGATACTAAAAATTGGTTAAAAATTGTTCCGACAGAACTTCCCTCGCTCCTGAAGTATAATGAAACATTTTCGAAAAATTATAAAATTTGACTTTGCCGATTTTATTTATTTTTTATGAAAACCCCTACAAATATGTAATGTATGTCTACGCGTATGTTTCAAATATGTTTTTACTTTTAAAAAATTTTGTGATGACGTAAATCATCATTTTTGCAATAACACGTATTTCAACTTAGGTTGGTGCAGTAATACTAATAATAACGTATTATATCCCTCCCCGCCCCAAATTTTGGGAAAAATGGAGTGAATCGTTCTTGATTTCATCAATAAAATAAATTAATCTATTCATGCCAATAATAAGTACAATATATATATTTTGCACAATTTTTATCATTTTTTTGAGTCATCCTGTATAAGTAAATCTAATAAATATAAATGCAATGATAAATTACAAGTATAGTCTCATCATATTTTGCATATTTCCGAAAGAATTTATTCGGCAAAATTTTGAGATGACGTAACTAACTTTTAGGGGTTGATAAACAGATACATTTTGATTAAAAAGTTACCATTCTTACAATAACTTCAAAACATCTGCAAGATTTCAAAGTATTCAGTTTTGCAATTCCTGATTTAATCAATAAAATATTGACTCGGTCATTGATTTTTTCAGACACCTCGTATAAGCAAATTTAAAAATATTAATGCAGTTATAAATCACAAGTATTGACTCATCATATTTTGCACATTTAAGATAGGATTTATTCAGCAAAATTTTGAGGTGACGTCATCAATTTTTTACGAGGGATGAGCAAACACATTTCGACTAAAAATTTACCATGCTTATGATAACCATGGCTGACTAGTATAAAGATTATGGCCTGTCCAAAGGTACCATACGTGCTGCCATCTATTAATAATTCAAAAACGACAAAAGAATTATTAACACTTTTTGAAAGGCACAAAGGTATTCATACCGAAACAAACGACCATTACACGTTTTTGAAGTCTCATAATGTCAAATCAAATTAAAATTTTGCTAAATTATTAAGTGTAATTATTAATAGATGGCAACACTTATGGTACCTCTTGACAGGCCATAATCTTTATACTAGTCGGCCATGATGATAACTTTAAAACATCTCCAGGATTTCAAAGCATTCGATTTTGTAGTTCCTGATTAAATCAGTAAAATAAATTCACGCATTCATTGCTTTTTTTGAATCACCCGAAAAGTATGAATGGAATGATAAATCACAAGTACAGACTCATCATGTTTTGTACATTTTAGATTTTGGGCTGCCGTCATACACTTTTTGGAGGGGATGAGTAAATATATTTTGCTTAAAAATTTATCATGCTTATTATAACTGTAAATCATCTGTAAGATTTCAGAGTATTCAGTTTTGCAGATTCCAATTTAAATTGCAAAGTGTTGTTTCATAATTTTTTTTTTTCAAAAATCTGGACGTTTCGGGTAAAAAGTCATAAACTACATGTATAGGACTATGTTATTTTAGACAATTTAAAACCTATTTACTATGTACAATTTTGAAGTAAGTAAAGTCATCACATTATTGGTGGGGATGATTAGTCAAATTTTTGTTAGCGTTTTACTATCTACATGATATTCCTAATATAAATATAAAATTTTACAACAATCGGTCCAGTACTTTCGGAGATTATCTGTTTAATAAAAATCCAGGACGACAGACAGACAGACGAACAGACGGACAGACAGACGGAGACCTATTTCTTCGTCTTCTAGGGGTCACGATAGGTCGAGGAAACGTAAAAGTAGAGAGTCGGCCGACGGACTCGATTACAATACTTCCTTTGCTTACGCTCGAGAAGTAAAAACTTGATTGTCTCGTAATTGAGCCCTCACGAATTCGCAAAACCCTAACCGTCGGATAAAATCGCGTTCTGTTAAATGTTGGGCAATTGTCATATGGTATGGATGAAATCGGTTTGCCTTTAAGATGTTGAAAACCGAACCCAAACTAATCTCCATTTGTCTTGCAATCTGTCTTGTTACAGTTCGACTTCTAACTTTTGAATTGCCCAAATTCTCGTAAATTTTTTTCAAGTTTTCTAAACGCTTGATTTGAGGGAGTTCTTCTATTGGGATATTGCCTGGCGTAGAAACGAACAATTGAAAATATTTGGCTGACAAAAATAATAATTTGTCATAATTTTGGTTCTGATCATTGCTATCTATGCTTACATTAGTATTTAAACATAAAAATTAATCAAAGCTGTTTATGAAACGTAAAATGGGTTGCCTATGCAGAAATATTCAGGCGTGAACAGATAAAATGAACACTCTGTATACTAGGATCGCGCATTCTATAACTTGTGCGAATATCACAAATCATTAAAATGCTCTGTGGCAAAAACATCTGTAATCTGTTTCCTTTCACTGAAAATTTTGCGGCAGTCCATTGTATATATAAATCGGAAATTTTGATTCTACGAACTTCATACTTCGGATAAATTTGTAACGTATGTCAAAAAAAATTGTGGTAAATTATTAAACCACACAGGGAGCAGCATGTTTTGCTGCATATTTAAAGAGAACTTTTATTTTAATTTTAATTTCATCAATAATAAAACTGATTAATTCATTAATTTTTTCAGC